GTTGGATTTCCTTCTACAAAACTCCACATCTTTTTTTTTGTTGTATTTTTTGTGTTGACTAAATTTAGATGAGGTTAATATGTGTTTTAGGTTTCTAGATTGGCGTTTGCTCTTAATTATTTTGGTTGTTTTTTAGTATATTATTCAGTTTATTATTCTTGCTAAGTAAATCTAGATTTTTGTGATTTCTGGAAATATTTCTGGGTTGTTTTTTTGTTGTACGTTGAGACATATGCTAGAGTTTGTTCGACGTTACGTTTCTTTTTATTTCTAAGATGGTCTAGAGGAATTTCTTTCGCGAGTTCAATACCTTTGTTTATTAGTGTTGTGGGGTAGCCTCGTTTCTTGAGAGTTTTATGTAGTTCTTCTAAGCGGATTTTTCGGAGATGTTTATCAGTCACTATTGTACAAATTCTACGTGCTAGGGAATAGGGGATGGATTTTAGGCAGCTTTTTGGGTGATGGCTCTTGAAATGAACGTATTGTTGGGTGTCTGTGGGTTTGTGGTAGATATCTGTGATTATGTGGTTGTTTTTATTTCTAATGAGTATATCTAAAAATGGTAATTCGTTAAAATTATATTCTTGCGTGAATTTGATTTTTTGGGTGTAAGTTTTGAAGTAGTGTATGGAATTGGTTAATATCACCCCATGATGATTTCCAAAAGATGAAGCAATCATCTAGATATCTTTTCCAAGATTTAGTGAATTGGGTCTTTATATTTGTCCCATATATTTGTTCTATCTTTTCATAGAGGTTTTCTTCTAGGTAAGCTAATGTTAGGGTGGCATATGTTGGTGCCATTTTGTTCCCATCGCAGTACCTAGGGTTTGGATATAGTTTTTGTTGTCAAATTCAAAGGTGTTATTGTTTAGAATTAGGTCTATACTATCGATAATGAACTCTTTAGTGAATCTCGGATGTAGTATTTCTGGATGTTTTTCAATCCAGAATGAGATCGCTTTTTCCCTAGTTCATGGGGTATGTTACTGTATAGGCTACTGATGTCAAAAGTTGCCATAAGCGTTCCCGGATCTACCTTTTGTGGTATGCAGCTAAGAAATGGATATCGTCTCTGATGTGGCTTTTAATTTGTTTAGTATATGGTTGCAATATTATGTCTATTAGGTTACTGAGTTTGCTAGTGGGACAGACTGGTCCTGCTACTATGGGTCTGAATGTAAGGTCACTGGGGTTTGGGATGCTAATGTATTCAGATTTTTGTGTATGTATAGCTGCTTTTATTTCACTCGATTTATGAACTTTAGGTAGTCCGTAGAAATTACTTGTTTTTGGTACAAAGTTTATTAGAAATCCTTCTCTTTTTTTTTGTTAATATTTTATTATGTGTTGTGCAGAGTTTTGTAATTTTGTTATAATGTTTTTTTGTCTATGTTAGTGTCAATTACTTTGTAGGTGTTCCTATCCTCTAGTGTTTCTAGAATTTTTGTTTTATAGTATGTTCTGTCCATGATTACTATAGCGCTGCCTTTATCTGCTTCTTTTTATAATTATGTTATTATTTTTTCGAATGTTCTCTAAGGCTAGTCTTTGTCTATATGTGAGATTGTCGAATGATTTGGATTTTTCCTGTAGGTCAAGGTTCCAGAGTTTTTCAAAAAATATATTTATCTCATTGGTATTGTTATTTTTGTTTGGGAATAAATTGGATTTGTTTTTTACTAGTGACTCATCTGTACTACTTTCGCTATTGTTAAATATTTCTCTTAGTCTCAGTTTGCGTTCAAATTCTTAATGTCTTTTTTTTTTTAAGTCTACTATATTGCTTTTAGGAGCAGGACAGAATTTTAGGCCCAATTTCAGTAGGTTGATTTCGTCATTTGTAAGTGTATATGTAGATAGGTTTATTATTTTGGGTTTTGTGTCATCTAAACGGGTTTTCTTGTTCGGACTGGGGCTTCTAAAAATAATATATATATATATATATATATATATATATATATATATATATATATATATATATATATACACACATTTATATATATATACGCATGTTGGCAAAACTACACACGAGCACGCACACAGACCCCACACAACTTAGGAAGTACGTGTGTATGTATGTACGTATGTGCGTGTATGTATGTGTGTATGTGTATGTGTATACTGGTTCCATGTACCTTGGGAAATATGTGTGTGTGTGTGTGGGTGTGTATGCGTGTATGTATGTGTGTGTATATACTGATTCCTTGTGGTGGGACGGTGTGTATGTGCGTATGTGTATGTATATGTGTATGTGTACAAATGAGTTTACTAATTCCTCGTAGTAAGACAGTATATGTATGGAGGGGGAATATACCCACGCATATATACACGCATGCTGACAGAAACATACGAAAATGGAAACAGATCCAAGAACACATAGGGGTCAGTAAAACATTAAAAGATAAAATGCCGATAAGTAATTCATCATTTCTCTTGGTCCAACCTTAATTTTTTTATGACCCTTCGTGCAGAACTCTTCATTGCCAATTCAAGAAAGACATTCGGATTACTAACACAAAAACAGAGAATGTCTCATATCGAGAATATTTAACATCGAAAAACATAAAGGAAAAATCTCCGCCTTTTATCTGAAGACGGTCGCGAGACCAGAAACATGTGTATTAAAATTATGGAAAATAAAGCATAATATTTAAAAAAAAAAATCCACATTACAACCAAAAAACGTTTGCGGCACCTCTCTTCTTTCTTTTTAATATATATATATATATATATATATATATATATATATATATATATATATATTTGTGATACCTAACGTAGAAAACAGATACAAATACAGGTAGAAAGATAGTGAGAGAGAAAGGAATGAGAGAGTTGTACATTTTTCACTTACGTAGCAATGACACAAATTTTAAATCAACTTTACTTCGACTGGTACATGTGTACCCATTTTGGCAATCACACCAGCAGGAGTTTTAAAACCTGAATTAAATATATAGATTTGTAGACGGGGAATAAGAGAGAACGAAAATAATAGCAGAGAGAGAGAGAGAGAGAGAGAGAGAGAGAGAGAGAGAGAGAGAGAGAGAGAGAGAGAGAGTCATGGAAATGAAAGTGAACATATTGAATATTGACGACCTAATGTATAATTTACAAAAATAGATAATCGCAAAGAATGTAGAAGAGAAGTTAAAAAAAAAAAATAAAAAACCCTATGCAACCCGAACAACAACTGATGAAGGAAAGAGAGACACTAAATAAAATCTTGATCAACAATAGATTTAATATGTAAAAACTTAAAAGCGTTTACGAAACAAGCTAAGATCAAGTTGAAAAGAAATAATACATTTTTTTTTCGTTTAATCATTTCACTCCCAGTAAGGCTGGTATGCCACTAGTACGTGGGGCGTTACAGAGAATGAATTTGAGAGAAAAGAAAATTATAGGGGGTCCCAAGAAATGAGAAAAAGCTGAACGGTGTTCAAGAAGATAGAAAATGGCAATTGACATTGCATTTAAATTTTTTTAAGATTGTAGTTATCAGGGAAGCAATGAAACGGAAGGGAGTTTCACATGCGGGAAGTGAGAGAAAATAAACTATTGGTGTAGAAATGGCGGTAACATTTAACTAACTCAACAGTAAACGGGTGGGACTTAGTACGCTTAATCTCACGTCGTTTGAGGACCAGAGAAAATAGCTCGTCAAAGCAGTAGCCATGAAAATATTTGTAGAAAAGACAAAAGGAAGAAACGTGACGTCGATAAGAAAGCGACTAAAGTGGATATGCCAAGAAATTACGTCAGTGTAATATGAGAGATGTGAGATAAGAAGGGGAGAGACAATCGTATGGAGACAGGAGAGACATAGTTTTCTGAGGAAGGCGGAGGATTTAAAAGATGTGATAGGAAACGAACCGGAAGCTAGAGGGCGCTGTCAGAATAAGGAAATTGGAAAGCAGTGAGAAGGAGAATAGACAGAGAGAGAGAATGAGTAGGAGGAAGGAATACAAAAAAAAGGAAATTTCATTTAATGAACCGACAAATTAGTGGAAACAAAACTAAGCAACGTTTGAACATATAAAATAAAAACGAGGAGATAAAAAAAGAAGAAATAACAAGGAAAGATAGAAAGAAAGATAACAATAAGGGAAGAATGGTAAGAAAAAAAGAAGAAAAGAAAGAAAGTAAAGAAAGAAAGAAAAGCAAAAGAAAGGTGTAAAGAAAGAAAAGTGAAAAGAAAATAAAGAAAGAAAAAGAAAAGAAAGAAAAAGAAAAGAAAGAAAAGAATGGAAGAAAAGAAAAATAAAGTGCAATGAAAGAAAAGTGAAAGAAATAAGAAATAAAAAAAAATGAAAAAAGGAGGAAAGAAAGAAAGAAAAAGAAAACGATAAAGGCGCATTGAAAGAAAAGTGAAAGAAAAGAAATAAAGTAGGAAAGAAAAACTGAAGCAAATAGTGAAAGAAAATAAAGGAAAGAAAATATCTGAATGATTGTATGAATTAATCGAATAAAAATGCAAAGTTTAAATCTTAAAATAAAAGTGAATGAAAAAGAAGAAAGAAAAAAGAGAAATAATTGGACTGAAAGAAAGAAAAAAGAACGAAAGAAAGAAAAAGGAAAATGCAAAGAGAGAAAGAATGAAAAAAAAAACAGACCGAAAAAATGAGATACAAGGAAAGAAAAATAAATAAATTCCAAAGAACCACGGAAGTGAATATAAAATATTTAAATTATTGTCTTAATCGCAGAAGGAAGAGAAAAAACAGACTGAAAGAAAGAACTAAACAAACAATGAAGGAAGGAAGGAAAAGAAAGAAAAAGCAATAAAAGGAAAGAAAGAAAGAGCGAAAGTTTAAATATATAAATGAAACTGAATGAAAAATAAGGAAATAAAGACTGAAAGAAAGAATGTATAAGTGAAAGAAAAGACAAAGGAGAAAATAAAGAAAAAGAAAACAGAATAAATAAAAAAAAAAGAATATCAAAGGAAGGAAAGAAGGTGGGGAAGACATTATTTTAGTTAATTAATGATTTAGTTAACGAAAAGCAGATATGCTTAAGTCGATAAACGAAAATGAATGAGGATGAGGTGAAAACGAAAAAGAAACAAATAAAGTATTAAAAATAAGAGAAAAGAAACAAAAAAATGAAGTAAACAAACCATAATAGAAAGGAAGGAAGTGGAGAAAAGAAGGAAGGAAAGAAAGAAAGAATGAAGGAAAGAAAAAAGAAAGAAAGGAAAATGAAAGAATGAAATAAAGAAAGAAACGAGAAGAAAAATAATTGGAAAACAGATAGAAAAAGGAGGAAATAGAGGAAAAAGTAAAAGGAAAGAAAGAAGACTGAAACAAAAGAAAAAAGAAAGAAAAAATGAAAGAAACATTAAGGAAGGAAGAAAATAAAATGTTTGAATTACTGTATGAATAAAAATGCAAAGTTTAAACCTATAAATTAAGAAATAAGCAAATAAAAAAAAATGAGGATAAATTAAAAAAAAAAACAATTGTGAGAACAAATGAAAAGTAGAGAAAAACAAAAACAAATGCTGAATGGAAAAAGAAAAAAAAAAAGTAAAAAGGAAGGGAAAGAGAAAAATAACAAAGCCTCAATGAAGGAAAACGTAACCGAGCGATGGAATCAAAAGCCGGAGAAAGAAATCAATAAAAAGAACGATATAACACAAGAGACAAAACGAACCAGAGAAAGAAGATAAAGAGAGAAGTTTGAAAACAATTACGAAGAAAGAGAGATGGATAGACTGAAAATAAATTAGCATATTGATTAGAGAAAGAGAGCACATAAAAAGCAAGGGATGGAAAAGGAGGAAAATACGAACAAATAAATTCGTTTAATCAAAACGAATAAAAAAGGCCAAGTTCAAGGTCGTTTTCAATTGAAAGGAAATGCAGTATTTGATCTTGCATTGAGTTTAAAGAACATGCGTCGATGTCTTCTAATTTTAAAATGCGGCTCAATTTGATTCACAATTTTCACGATCTTTCCGCATTTTTTCACGTCGCATTTTTTATTAATTGTTCTTTGCAAGTGAAAGTTTCTTTCGTCCTTTCTAGTAGTTTGATCACTTTCAGCTTTTTCCACGCTCGCTACCTCTCATGTTTGTCTCCTTTTATTATTTTACTATTCGCATATCTTCTTTCAGCACCTTATTTTACTGATGGACAGACAAACAATAGATAGATAGATAGATAGATAGAGAGAGAGAGAGAGAGAGAGAGAGAGAGAGAGAGGGAGAGGGGGGATTTAATTTAATCAATTCACTCCAAACAAGGCGATAATGCCATTATTGAACCCATCGCTAGGTCAGCATCTACGAATGTCGTTTCACTGTGTCGCATAGAAACTTCTCTCCTGAATCTATCTTGCATATCTATAAGTCTACCAGTCGTCCGTGCTTAGAATAGTGTTGCTATATATGACCCAGTGCCCCTGGTATTTACCCGGAGCTCTTTGATAAGGCCCAATGAATAATCAGCAATATCATTGGTCACGATCTGGCGGCTCGGCTTCAGTCAATTGCCCACCGCCGTTTTTTATAAATACTTTCATGGTTATTGTTCTGATGAGTTCTTCGCTGAAGTACATGAATTGTACACATGGCGAATAATTAGGATTTTCATAGAGACAACGAGGTATTATGGTGGATGTAGTAAGAATGGTTAGTAAAGAATACTGTGGCATGTTTGGGACAGTGTTTGTGGCTAGCGAATTTTAATGTTAAAACAGAAGAAAACCATCCTTCTCCCTATTCCCCATTTTGTACTTCTGTCACGTTTCTTTATATAAGCGGAATCACTTTTCACTGTGGTACCTAGACTTTATGAAGTTAAACGCAGTATTAAACTGGCGACGAGTTCTCATCAATTTACAATTGAGACTGGCGAAATGTAACTGTAGGTTATATGCTGTTTCTTTTCTCGCACTTCTTGCTTGTGGAACTCCCTTCCGGATCCATGATTTCCAATCAACTTTAATCTGCAATAGTATAAATGCAATACCAATCGCTATCTACTGTCCTCCTGATTGCTCCTATCTATTTCTACTCATTGCTAATGTTTCTGTTCTTAATTCCCCCACCGCTGGATACAGCTATATATTTATATATGTGCACCCTCATGTACATGCACACATATCCACACAACCATACGGCTTGCCTTCAAGCAGAATTGTTCATAACCATTTTTGGTTCTCACCAGTCGAAGTGCAATTGAAATGCACCAAAACGAAGTTGCGTCTTTGTAGTGAGTAAATTGTTTTTGTCTATATGATAAAATTATAATATATATATATATATATATATATATATATATATATATATATATGTGTGTGTGTGTGTGTGTTTTGTGTGTTTGTGCGTGTGTGTGTGTGTGTGTGTGTGTGTGTAATTAACTGATATCAAATACTTAAAATACCATAGGTATAATCTTTATTTCATGAAAGTTATACCATAGGTATAATCTTTATTTCATGAAAGTTATAAAATACCCCTTCACACTTTCAAACCAAATAGAAACAAAAAAATACTCCATGTTAATATATATATATATATATATATATATATATATATGCAGAGAGAGAGAGAGAAACCAAATAGAAACGGAAAAAATACTTGTTAAATCTGAAAAGAAAAGAAAAGAATCATTAGACGCTGAAACTTAATTCACATTTAAAATCGGTTCAAGTTATTGTAAAATCCTTTATATACGGCCCCCACTCCAAAAGTATTGGAATGACAAGACCACTTTCTTTGTTGTTGTTCGCTGAAGACATTTGGGTTTAAGTTCAAAAGATGAATATGAGACAAGAGTTCAATATTTCAGCTTTTATTTCCTGGTATTTACATTTAGATGTGTTAAACAACTTAAGACAAACCACCTTTTGTTTGAATCCACCCATTTTTCACGTGAAGAAACTACTGGAACACGTGACTTGCATGTGTATCTTGTTGCAGAGGTGTTGCTTTGAGATTGATTGATTAAACATTAAATAGCTCTGTATGATTATTTTTACTTAAATAATAAAGTAAATATTTTTATATATAATTTCATTTGGCCATTATTTCGTTTTCTTATCAGATTTGATGGTAACTTAAGTATTATCAGTGTATTAATTGTAGGAGGTTAAGCTTATAAATTATAATACATTTAGGCACACACAGACATACATATGCATTTTCATATATAGATAAACACATGCACATACACATACACACACAAACACACATATATATAAGAGTGTACAGTTTATATTTTATATCATAAAGAAACAATTTATACAAAGAATTAAATAGCAATATTATGTGATTAATGGAGAAATCACTTCGCTAACAAGACTTAATGAGACATTAACTTACTGTTAGTTCCTTGAATAATAAGATCGTTACACACACACACACACATATAGACAAACGCACAGACACACACACAGTCACACACACACACACATACATACATACATATATATATATATATATATATATATATATATATATATATATATATATATATATACGCACACAAACAATTGCATACTTGTGTATATGGGTAGTTGGATTTATGCTGTATTTTCATTGTTGTTTGTATATATATATATATATATATATATATATATATATATTTATATATTTAAATATAAAACTATATATATATCGGAATCATATTTTTAAATTAATAATATATATATATATATATATATATATATTTATATATATATATATATATATATATATATATAATATGTGAACGCTCCCATATACACGTACGCACATATATACATTTAAAAATAATGTTTCGGTAGTAAATTAAATATTTGCTTATTTGTTATCATTTAACTAATGTTTCATTTTTCTTTAATTGCGAGGAATTCATTTGTTTTTGCCTTGGTACCATCTTATATATTAAGATATTAATTATAGAAGTCTATGTTTGCAGTGGTTTGTGTGTATGCATATATTTATATGTATATGCTCGCACACACACATACATATTTAATATTTGTTCATTTATTTTATGTTTATTTTTATTTTGTTTGATTTATTTTTTAAAATTTACATTATAATTATTTAGTTTATTTATATTTGTATATTTATTTATTTATTGAATTAGTCTTTAGATAGTAAATTAAATATTTATTTATATAAGTCTTTTCGTGACTTATAAAAACTGTATTTAATTTTTTACATAAATAATTAGTTTTAATGCTTAAATGATAACGGGAATATTTATATATATCTTCATTTGGCTATTATTTCATTTTCTTATTTGGTTTCGTGGTATCTTAAGTACTCTTACGGTAGGGTATTATATATATATATATATATATATATATATATATATATATATATATATATATATAAAAAAAAATACACGTTATTGGGTGGCATTCAAGATAGCTCCTATGGAAGGCTCTATTTTGGGCCTTCATCACACTCGGCAGGGAAAAGTAAATGCGATAGGCAACAATGAACTACAGAAGAACTCAAAATTGATCATTAAAAGTATTGCATTAATATTCAGCATACATTTTAAAAGATCAAAGATAATCCTAATGTCGACACTTAATTTAAAGAAGGTTTTATATACGTAGGTCCGTACAAACAGTTATTTTTTTATTTGATGTGTGACTTTCGCTGGACTTTGCAATTTATTTTGAATATTTCCAGATTTATTTCCAAGTTATAAAAAATGTTATTTTACAAAAACATTCGTAAAAAATCGCCGAAAACAATCGCAGTAATGAATCAAAAAATTCGGGATTGCCGGTCCGGATTCGGCGCGCAATGTACTTTTTTTTAAATTTGCTCACCAAGTCAGCCTGATTCCAAAATCGTATCATATGTTGGGGTACGACTACTAGGGGTAAAGTTGAAAAAGCTTGACAGAACGACATACCGACATTCGCATTTATCATATATATATATATATATATATATATATATATATGCAGTTTATTTCTTTGAACACTTTCCATTATCGTAATGGTATTGAAACTTGGAATCGTTTGTACTAAAGACGAAAAATTGACAACGTGTTTATTTGAGACTATGTAATATTTCATGATAGGAAATTGTCTGGTTTAACTCGTCTCCATTAACCATGTGATGACAGCTAAACATAATATAAACACAACATCAATATGTCAATTTCTAAAAACTGTTCAATGCGGCGATGCAATTGAGATAAGTGCACCTGTTGGCGAACCTTCGAGAGAGCTGTCAT